GGTTGCCTGTGCGGTGCTCCCAGGCAATGGGCCGGCAAACTCTCCAGGGACGCTGCTCACCGGCAAGTTCGTAAGAGTCCTCCTTCTCCGCCCCCCTCTCCCAAGCAGTACCTTGAGGTTCGTGGGTAGTCGTAGGTGGGGGTTATATGTATGGTAACTCAAGTGACTAGAACCTGCAAGTACTTACAACTCGACTGATTTGGAGGCTCATGGTACTTAACAACCCAATTATAAGTGCACTTGCTACCCATGTATAACCATATTCGGGCACTTAAAGCGCCTATAAGTTGGTTGTAAGTACAGTTGTAATTGGAAAATTAAGTTGCATGAACCTCCAAGTAATTACATGACCCTTCGAGGAAGTGAGAGCAAGAAACCCTAAACCCTAAACCCTAAACCCTAATTAAACCCTAAACCGCTTGCCTCATCAGCCAGCTCCTGCACTTTCGCTTCACGTTCCGTGCGGTCGAACCACCTCAACTCGGCTCTCGAGACTCTGAGTTGTCCAGTAACCTGGGGGAACTAAAGGTTAACCTTTGGGATCATAAGGGGACTACATTACCCCAAAACTGTTCAAGGTTACCTACTCTACTACTGGGGACAAAAGGGTTGCAAATCCCAGCCCCAGTGAAAGGTCAATCCCGAACTTGCACTTTAAACCCCCTAACCCTAAACCCTAAATCCTAAACCCTAAACCCCCTAAGCTGGGGTTGACTTGGAGGGTTTAGGGTCAAGGTTGAGAAAATCGAGCTCTATGGGCCCTGAATCCTATGTAACCCTACTGACCTGAAATAGCCAACTAACTTTTACATCAGAAGCTTAAACCCATGCGCCTGATGTACCCAAATCTTACGCCCTAAACCCTAAACCCTATACCCTAAACCCTAAACCCTAACTGGATTCGAGGCTTAGGCTTTCGGCTTTCGGGTTGCATGGTATAGCACTAGCGATGGGTTAGGGTGTTTAGTCTTTGTACATCTTTTCGATGGTTTACATGTTGAGGCTTTAGATGGCTCTAGGGCTGTAGGCTTAAGGGTGTAGGGCCGTGGGCTTTCGTGCACAAAACCTGTCACGAAGCTCTCCAACCCTGACCACGAAAAGCTAAACCCTAGACCCTAGTCGCTAAACCTTGCGTGAGTCCATGCAAAGAAACTTCACTGGGATCAGCCTGAGAAGTCAACCTTTGCTTGCTGAACCCTAGATACCCTTAACACCCGAAACTCTACGCCCGCCAAGGGTTGTAAAGGATTTAGGGTGTAGGTTTCAAGGTGTGGAGCAGAAAATACACTAATTCAGGCTCATTTGGTTACCCCACTGCCCCAAAGATGGATGCAGTCATACGGGTAACCCAATAGCCCTTCTTGAAGAATAGCCACAAAACAGGTCCCTAACCCTAAGTCCCAAGCCCTTAACCCTGAACCTCCCCCCCACCCCCGCCGCCCCGCCCCCACCCTCGCAAACCCTGAAGCCCAAACACTAAACCCTTCTTCTCCACAAGCTCCTTATCCAGGAGATTTTATCAGGCGGGGAGGTGCTGGGTGGTGACTCTTTACACTAAGGCTATGTACGCAAACATGGATGCTTTGGTCCGGTAGGCAAGGTGGGCAGCGCCCACCGAGCACCCTTCGGCAGAACCAGATCTCCACTCCGGCAACCCCCTACCGAGCTGTCCAGTGCCAGCCAGAGAGCGTGCTCCGCACACCAACCGAACGCGATCCAGCCGGCGCTTTGCAGGTCCCGATCCGACCCACCCACCTGTGGGCGACTCCTCCATAGCGCTTTTCACGAGCTGTGCTCTCGGGCGATCCAGCCAGCTCACCAGGGGGAGTTTGTTGCTTCCGCCAGAAGCTCAGCAAACAACCTCCACCCCTCTGAGGTATGTAAAAAGCGTACTTCCAGGCCCAACGTCAGCATCCTATATAAGCCCTGAAACAACCCAATTCCTATGTCAAAACCACGAACCCTAAACCCTAAACCCTAAACCCTAAACCCCAAACCCTAAACCCTAAACCCTAAACCCCAAACCCTAAACCCTAGAAGCTCGATGAGTTCTTGCGCAGCCAGGGAAAGAGAGGGCCCGGGATGGTGCTGAGCGGCCAGTAAGTCAGAGCCATCCGCCGCCGCTTCGCAGGCAGCACCTGCGGGAAAGGGTTTAGGGTGTAGGGTGTAGGGTGTAGGGTGTAGGGTTTAGGGTTTAGGGTTTAGGGTTTCGGGTTTCGGGTTCAGGTTCCCGGGTTTAGTGTGGCAGCTCAGCTCAACGGCAAAATCCTGCAAATGCCAGACTCCTGCAAGCAAAAAGGGGCAGAGTGGCCAAGCTGTGGGGTATGCCAAAGGGTTTACGAAAATACGGGACCTGAAAAAATATACCCCAAATAGTAGGATAAGGTACCCCCTACTTTCGGAAACCCCTCCCTCAACTTTAACTAAACCCTAAACCCTGAACTTCCCACGTTCAGGATAGGTGCTTGGAAGTCAAATCGTCCGCGTGTCGTAAGAAAATACCGCGCGGCGTGCCTTTCAAATCAATTGCCTCCCTTCTAAACTTAATCAAAACTCCTCCCTGTTCAAAACATATAAAACCCGTGGACCGTATCAGCAAGGCGAAAACCAGCTTGGACTGTTCTAGGGGGGGAGGGGGGGGGGCACACACAAAACCGTGTACAACATTCATGGGCGCACTTCCGCGGGATGTCCGTACTTGGAGGTTCAGGGCACTTAATAAGCCAACTATAACTGTGCTTGTAGCCCAAGTATAACCCTGTTTGGGCACTTAGGTGATAAGTGGTTCTAAGTGCAGTTATACTTGGGATAGAAGTGCCCAAAACCTCCAAGGAGAATCAGGAATCCGGGGGGGGGGGGGGGGTTGCGCAGTGATCTTCATTCTCTGACAACTTTCGGGCTTAGGGTTTACCTGGGATCTTCTTAACCTACAGCTTAATGGGTTATACCTACTAACTAAGGGGTAGTTACTACTAAACTGTAGGGGTATATAGAGCCTCAGGTAATCCTGAGCCCTAAGCCCTGAATCCATGAAGTTACAATGGGGCTCGAGACCGGATGGCATAAGGAAGATTCCTCAAGGTTTAGGAGTTCAAATGGAACCTTCAAAAATGTTAATCCCCAAAGCCATAAACCTCCAACACCTAAACCCTAAACCCTTCAAGTTTCAAATCTCCAACACCATAAACCTCCAACACCTAACCCCTAAAAAACCCTGAAATCCTAAAACCCTAAAATCCCAAAACCCTAAAACCCTAGAAACCTAAATCCCCGAAAACCCTTAAACCCTAAAGCCTAAGCCCTAAACCTGCCTCATGTGGCAGGCGGTCCGCCCAAAACAGCACAAGCCGCCCCGTCTCCGGAGCGAACTCCAGAGGAGGCTCACCTCAGGGTGTAGGGCTCAGGGCTTTGGGCCATCAGGAACCCTATCCCCAAACCCCAAACCCCAAACCCTAACTAAACCCTAAACCCTAAACCCTAAACCCTAAACCCTAAACCCTAAACCCTAAGGATTACGGTTACAAAGCCACCATGCAAGATTCGCGGATATCCTTTGAAAGATATACTTAACCTGAGCTCCCCCAAACCGCCTAAACCCTCATTAGGCTAGTTTTCTACATTGGGGTCCCTTTTGGGGGGTCCTGGTTATAAGGAGCCGTACTCTATGGGAACCCAAAAAGAACCCTAATCTAGAGAACTACTTGTTAAACTCCTGGCTTAGGGTTTAAGGCTTGGGGTTTACTGAACCCTAAACCCTGAACCCTGCACCTGAAACGTGAACGAACGCTGTAGCTCACGCCCAAAGCCCTTAACATCCTGGTCAGAATCCCGGCACCCCGCCAGCAAACCCCCACAAAGCCCTACAGAACACTAAACATCCTAACCTCAGACTCAAAGACCCTGTGGTTAAAGAAGACTTCCAAACATTCTGATGCGAATCCCCCCCCCAAACCTATGACACCTAAAAACAAGAAGTAATCCAGTCTTGCGAAACACCTATACCCTAAACCATACCCTAAACCCTAAACCCCGTCCCCCCGGCCAAAATAGTATGTGTATATATATATGCTACCCCCCCCCCCAGCGACCTACCCTTTTTAGGCCTTTTTAGGCCTTTTTAACAAAAAATAACTAACAAGGCCCAAAAGTCGCGTAGTTAATCACCGGGTAATGAAGGACAGTTACTGGGACACCCACCTCACAGACCCCGATAAGCCAGCATTTGGAAGAATCTACATTTTGAATCTGAAGCGGACAATGCTGTTTTTAGATGTTTAGATCAATGTTTTTCTATGCAAATTGTGCGTTTTAAAGGGCAATTAATGTTTTGTTGAGCAACTAATTTATTTATACAGTTGTGTTTGTACGAGGCAAAGTATTAATCAAATAGTGAAACATTTTTCTTGGTTCTATGCGATTTTAGCTACTAGAGTAATTATTAAGCAAAGAGCCCAATTTGACTCGAGTGAATACCATTTAAGGGAGCATACTCAACCAAGATACGAAATAGACACCATTCTCAACCAAAATATGGCAAAGTGTGGGTTTAAAGTGCAAATACTGTATTTATACAATTGTGCTTGTACTAGGCAAAGTATGCTCTCTGAAAAGTCCACTGAAATACCTTATGTTTACATATTCATGAATCGTTTTTATTTTTGAAATAATCATTTTATGCGAATTTAGCTACTAGAGTAATTATTATGCAAATAGCCCAATTTGACTCAAGTGAATACCATTTAAAGGACCATACTCAACCAAAATACGAAATAAGCACCATATACAACCAACATATGGCAAAGTGTGGTTTAAAGGGCAAATAGTGCTTTGTTGAGCAACTAATGCATTGAAACAGTTGTGTTTATTCCAGGCAAAGTATTATTGAAATACTATCTGCAAAGTCAAATGAAACACCTTATGTTTACATATTCATGAAACAATTTTTTTTGAAGTATTCATTCTATGCGAAATTAACTACTAGGAGGAATTCTTAAGCAAATAGCCCAATTTGACTCAAGTGAATACTATTTAAAGGACCATACTCAACCAAATACGAAATAAACACTTGCGGAAATGGAAACGGTTCTACCTACATAACAATGAGACAAAGATTGCTGAAGTATTCACTAAAGACCACTTGTATACTATGTCTGAAAAGCACAATTTGCATAAGCAAGCTTAAAAATGCACAATAATGGAAATCGGTTCTACTTACATAACGATGAAACAAAGATGTCTGAAGTATTCAATAAAGACCACATATATACTATGCTTGAAAAACGCAACTTGCACAATCAGGCTTAAAAAATGCACAAGAATCCTAGAAAAGTACTTCTAAAGTGAAGGCCATACCACAAGCAAATTCACAAATACGTAAAAACATCCAAAAGCGCAAGCTTTTCAGGAGAATCTCTGGTGAAGTTTGGATTATAGGGTTTTGGGGTATCCCTGGACGAGTAGGAGTCACTTTTTAAGCAAACAATTCTAAGCAATAAATGCTTTTTCTCAAGACAAGTATTGCAAATGCTGCTCCTAGATAATTAATCGCATTTACCAGGCAAATATTATCCATGCGAATTTAGCTACCAGAGCACCAAGTAATGGCTGAATAAGGTCTACTACACTTGAGTGCAACCAAAAGATGCACTAAACACTAGCGGCTCTACTTACATAATAACGAAACGAAAAGTTCTGAAGCACTAGAAAGACCACTTGTATACTATTTTTGAAAAGCACAATTAGCATAAGCACACTTAACAATGCGTAGTTGTTGCCTCGTGACCGTGAAGGCGAACCAAAAAGCCAAAATACCAAAACCAAAAAACCAAAAATACCAAAACCAAAAAAACCAAAAAAACCAAAACCAAAAAAACCAAAAATACCAAAAAAACCAATTTTCTGGGGCTCTTGGAGAAGCCTCATAGGAATTTCCTGAGAGTCCCGGAAAATTGGTTTTTTTGGTATTTTTGGTTTTTTTGGTATTGGTTTTTTTGTTTTTTTTTGGTTTTGTTTTTTTTGGTTTTTTTGGTTTTGTTTTTTTGGTTTTTTTGGTTTTGGTATTTTTGGTTTTTCTACTGTCCCGTGTATGCGATTTTAGTTGTATTTTTAGTCTACGCCCTAGGAAATACGCTATATTGCACACCGAGTTTGCTTGCAGTGCAGCTGTGACTTGAGACAAGGCGAAAAAGGGTAGGTCACTGGGGGGGGGTACCATATATATATATATATATATATATATATATATTGTATTTGTATATGTGTATATATGTATATATATATATGTATATGTATATATGTATATATGTATATATGTATATATGTATATATGTATATATGTATATATGTATATATGTATATATGTATATATGTATATATGTATATATGTATATATGTATATATGTATATACAACCTACATATACTCAGATAAACATATTAACAATAACCAGGTTCATAAGAATAGTACTAGTAATAGTAATAAGCATAATCATAATCATAATAGTACTAATAGTAATAGTAGTAATACTCATCATAATAGAAACCATAAAAAAACAATAATAAGAATAAGAATAACAAAGGTCCTAAAGCCCACCTTCCGGGAACATCCGCAGCTGCCCGCCGTCATCCGCACCCCAGGGCTCCCCCGAGTTCAGGTAGACCTTGGGTTTAGGGTTTAGGGCTTTAGGATTTGTTACGGTTTATAGGGTTTTAGGGCTTACAGGATTTAGGGTTTAGGGTATGCGGTTTTGGGTTTAGGGCTTCGGGCTTAGGGTTGAAGGTCTATGACCGCCATTAGGGTGTAGTAGGGTTTGCAGGGTTTATGAGTTGTCAAGCTGCGATCGACGTGAGGACCCGGCCGTCCTGGCGCAAGTGGAGTGGATGGTGCTTGCCCAACAGTCTGGGAACAAAGGGGTTCGGTTTTAGGGTTTAGGGTTCAAGGTTTAGGGTTTAGGGTTTCGGGTTTCGGGCTTAGGGTTTAGGAGTTTAGGAGCTTAGGGTCCGGGGCTTGGGGTTGGGATGGTCCCCCTTATACTAACAGTCCTTAGCAGGGATTATAACAGGGGGTTCTATAATCCCCAGCAAGGACTGTTAGTATAAGGGGAACATCCCGAGAGTTGTAGCGCGTCCTACAACAATCCCAACCTGAAAACCAACACCCTGCACAACACACGTTCAAGTTCCACTCTTGTCTACAGTACCTAGTAGCCCAGTTGAGGTACTTATAACCGTACTTACTAAGTGCCCCGATCCTCCAAGTATAGGGAAGCAAGAACCCATCAAAAGGACGACACCGTTGTCACAAAGGGGTACCACTGGGCTACAACCCAGAGGGTCCATGTACCCACATAGGATAACCCTAAACCCTAAACCCTAAACCCCAAACCCTAAATCCTGGCCCTAAACCCTAAAACCCTAAACCCTCTACTGTTTAGGTACATGGACCCTGTTGGGCAAGTACCCAGAAGATGTGTACTACTTGGGCTGAAGGCTAGGCTGCCCAGTAACCTAGACTTAAAAAGGGTACCCTTTTTGCTTAAAGGGGTTTAGGACCCTAAACCCTAAACCCTAAACCCTAAACCCTACACCCTAAACCCTAAAGGGAATCTGGGGTGGGGGAGGCCGGGCACGAAGACTCGTTGGGGTGCAGGGCTCGGGGTTCGGGGCTCCGGGCTTGGGAATCCAAACCCTAGACCCTAAACCCCAAACCCTAACCCTAAACCCTAAACCCTAAACCCTAAACCCCAAACCCTAAACCCCAAACCCTAAACCCCAAACCCTAGACTACCCCAAGTCCTTCTGCTTCGGGGTGTAGGGGAATGCAGGAAGGCACAGGTCTGGATTTTGTCAGAGAATCCTCCTACCCCAGCTACTCCCCCCAAACAAGTTTTGGGTTTAGGGCTTTAGGGTTTTAGGGTTAGGGTGTTAAGGTTTTAGGGTTTAGCTTTAGGATTTTAGGGCTTTAGATTGTTTAGGGTTTTTGGGTTTTTTGGCTTCGGGAGTGGTAGGACTGGGAAAGGGGAGGTGGAGGTGGAGGGAGTACCATTGAAGGGAATCTTGAATCTTCGAACTGCCTATAAAGCCTTACACCCCCCCTACATCCCCTACATCCTCTACACTACCCAACCCCCTGAACCCTAAACCCTAAACGAGGGTCACTCGCGCCGGGACTTGATCTGTTGCGGCCGGTTTTGGGTTACAGAACTTTGGCTGGCACTGAACCCTATAACCCCTACAGAGGGTTGAGAGTATAGGGTTTGGGGTTTAGGGTTTAGGGTTCCTTCCCAGTGGGCCTTGTTCGGATTGTCCACGTGCTTTTGAAATCGAGCACCGCCGTCCTCGAGGTGTGTCAGGCTAATAGTCTGTGGCTTCTCACCGACTTGGTAGCCCAGTAACCATATTACAATAAGGGTGCCCTTTTTTGGGTTGGTTACTTTAGAAGGGAACCCTGATCCCAAAAAATGGAAAAGGGTACCACTGGGCTACCAGAGGAAGTAAAACCCTAGCCTGCTCCATGTCTACTGGAGCCGGACCTACGTAAACCTCTACCTACAGTCTGACACAACCCAAAAACCTATGCTAGTCAAGGGGTGCAAATTGCCCGAGACTAGCCCACTCCCCAGGACCGTTCTGTACATAGTCAGGCGTATGATGATGTAGCCCGAAACCTGAACTTCAACCCCTAAACCCCTGAACTGCAAAAAGAAAAACTCACATGCAGCCAAAGCTCGTAGATGCTGACCTGGGCTGCTGAGGGCATAGCACCCTGTATGTGTTGAGAGCTTGAGGGAGAGAGGAGAGGGGAGAGGGGAGAGGGGAGTGGGGAGAGGGGAGAGGGCAGAGTGGAGAGGTGAGAGGTGAGAAGTGAGATGGAGAGGGGAGAGGTTGGATTCCCAGAGACTCCAAAACCCTTAATTAAGGAATATACCTTAAATCATATTAGGGTTCCTATTATGATTTAAGGGATATTCCTTAATTAAGGGGTTTTGGAGTCTCTGGGGATCCCTCCATATGCTGCCATGGCATGTGACTGACGACGCCACGTCTTCTGGGCTCCCGAGCCTTTTACGTATGGGGCCGCGGACCTGTGTACGGAAATATGGCCCCTAGCAGGAGGCCCCCTGGAGGCCCCAAGGGTACCTACAACATGTTTTAGGATTTAGTTCATTTAGATAATGTAATTCTGTGGAATTAATTTGTTTAAATAAGTTAAAATGTTTAAAAATCATTTACATTAATTTAATTAGAGGTAAATCTGGAGACCTGCAAATACCACACAAAACATAAGATGATAGGAACAACTTTGTGGGTCGAAATTTGCCGGGATCCCCTTGGCGCCCTGCCAGAGTCCTGCAAATACCACACAAAACGGAAGAGGGTAGGAACAACCTTTGCAGGTCGAAATTTGCCGGGCGCCAAGGCCAAAGTCCTGCAAATACCACACAATACGGAAGAGGGTAGGAACAACTTTGCGGGTCGAAATTTGCCGGGAACCCCTTGGCGCCCTGCCAAAGTCCTGCAAATACCACACAAAACGGGGGTTTAAGGTTTAGGGTTTACCCTAAGGGTCCATGCACCTCATGATGTTATACGTGAGCCCCAAAGTCCCTAGATAGGAGGTACTTTAAGGCCCAAGTATTCCAAACCCTAAACCCTAAACCCTAAACCCTAAACCCTAAACCCTAAACCCTAAACCCTAAACCCTAAACCCTAAACCATGGACCCTTCGGGTCTGGGGTGATCTCCCAGAAACGCCCATTCTTCGGACAGAGCTCTGGGCCTGAAATGACCCTGAACCTCGGGAACCAAAATGAACCCTAAATCTTAGCAAGAACTCTAGTAGCCCTAAACCCTAAACCCGAAACCCAATTTTAAGTCTAAGACCTAACCCCGAAACTCCAACCCACCCCTAAACTCTCAACCCTAAACCCGAAAACCCTTACCCACCCCTAACCCAAACCCCTAACCCCGAAACCCTGGCCCAGGCCCTAAACTCTAAACCCTGAACCCTGAACCCTGAACCCTCAACCCTCAACCCTCAACCCTAAACCCTAAACCCTAAACCCTTCTGAGCCCAGCGGCCATGGCGTCGGAGCGCTCCGCCAGGCCGGACAGGCGGCTCACGTGCTTTGCCTTAGCGTTTAGCGTTTAGCGTTTAGCGTTTAGGGTTTAGGGTTTAGGGTTTAGGGTTTAGGGTTTAGGGTTTAGGGTTTAGGGTTTAGCGTTTAGGGTTGAGGGTTGAGGGTTGAGGGTTTAGCGTTGAGGGTTGAGGGTTGAGGGTTTAGGGGTTTAGGGGTTTAGGGGTTAGGGGTTTAGGGGTTTAGGGGTTTAGGGGTTTTTAGGGGTTTAGGGGGGGTTTAGGGTTTAGGGGGTTTAGGGGTTTAGGGGTTCCACGTGTTTTGGACCCTACCCCTCCCCCCCTACCCCCCCCCCCCTCCCCCTCACCCCCTACCCCCCCTACCCCCCCCCCCTTAACCCCCCTACCAATTGATTGGGCTGCCTGGCCTTCAAAGCTGGCTTCAGCTCCTGTTTGGGTCCCAACGTTTCACAGAGGCTCAAGCACATCAACTTTTTTGGCATCCTTTGAGCTGACGAGCGCGTTTAAACCTTTCAACTATGCTCCAGCGGGGTCGGCGGCTTGAGCCGGAGGCTCTTAAATTTAGGGGTCTAGGGGTTTAGGGGTTTAGGGGTTAGGGTTTAGGATTTAGAGCTGCGCGTGTGAATTTTCAAAGTATCTGAGGAGGGGCTCGTGACATTTGTCGTGGCAACATTGTCGCAATTACTCACAGAGAGGGTTGGACTGTGAAAATTATGTGAATATTATGTGGGAATTCTGTGGCCGTTTAGCTTACATCTCTCAACCACGAGAGCTGCTGCTTGGCGTCGAGACCATGGAGCACGAAGTCGTCCTGATTCCACTACGTTGGCTTTGGTTTAGGGTTTAGGGTTTAGGGTTTAGGGTTTAGGGTTTAGGGTTTCGGGTTTAGGGTTTAGGGTTTAGGGTTTAGGTTTTAGGTTTTGGGGTTAGGGTGTATAGGTTTTAGGGCTAGGGTTTAGGGTTTAAGCCGTGTAAGCCCCACAATGAAGAGCATACCACATACACGGCGTGTGTGCAAACTCAGCAGCCGGCTTCTTGAGTTTGTAGGACTGGAGACACCATTTAAAGGTTTAGGGTCTAGGGTCTAGGGTTTAGGGTTTAGGGTTTAGGATACATAAGATGAAGCTCGAGGGTCTCTATGTTTGGGGCGAGTACCTTTGAGCTCAGCCAGGAAGGGCACCTTACTGAAACTCACCTGAGGTTCGCGCGCTTGGGGGGCTTGAAAGGCCATCCATGAACCCTTACAGACAGACACGTAAAGTTTTCGACGCAACCACGAAGTGCAAGCTCTGCTTTTCTTGGCTGCTCTTAGCAGGGTAGCTATAAATTTACTTGTTTGCTGCCTTGTTTCTTAACCCAATAAACCCAAAAAGGCTAAAGATGTAAAGTTACAGTACAGCACCACGAAGTTTTCACCTTAACCCCTAATCCCTAAGCCCTAAACCCATCTTCCACCCGCAGCAACCCGGTCCACACGGTTCATCGTGGCGCGCAGCCGTGGGAAACCGTGGGTGGTCTTCTCCTGAAGAGAGAGACCCTAAACCCTAAACCCTAAACCCTAAACCCTAAACCCTAAACCCTAAACCCTAAACCCTAAAGGCTGCCACGTGTGGAGGGTGTAGGATTTGCTCTTAGGGCGTATTGGGCTTTGGAGCTTTAGGGTTAGGGATGGAGGCTTAAGAGTAGGTTTACGGGTAGCTATATCTGGGCTATCAGTAGGGCACATGCAGATATGAATGTTTGTTACCTGCAGTTTGGGTAGTTCTGCTTCCAACGACCCATGAGACTCCAAGTACGGACTGTGGAGAGGGAGGGTTACTTAAAGGGTCAGGTGACTTGGCAAGTGGGGTTCGAAGTAAGGTACTTGTAACTATAAACCCAATTGAGGTACTTATAACCCTACGAACTACCCTAAACCCTAAACCCTAAACCCTAAACCCTAAACTCTAAACTCTAAACCCTAAACCCTAAACCCTAAACCCTAAACCTAACTAAGTGCCCCGATCCTCCAAGTAGAGTTTGGGACTCAGGGTTTGTTGGGTTTGCGGCTCAGAGCTTGAGGTTGAGGATCGAGGGTTGAGGGTACTTGGAGGTACACGGTGCGTAGAACCCCCCATACCCTAGACGCCCCAAAGGAACCATCTTGGGTCATCGGTTTCCCTAACTCGCCACGAAGATCTAGCAAGGAAGCTTAAACATTCAGAGGGAGCTTTCAGGACCGAGGGTGTGGCATGCTCTCAAGGGACCCCAACGGATGTACTGCTAAAGAGGTTTCCTTCAGATGCTCCTGGTATGGCACTTATCTTGAAATCCTAAACCCTAAACCCTAAACCCTAAACCCTAAACCCTAAACCTCTTAGGAATCTTGAACAAAGGGTCCCCGAACCCAAGGGTGCAATCTTCGGGCTTCAAGGTAGAGTCTGCTGGTACTGCATCCTTAGGCCCCAAGTGCAGCCTTCAGGCACCACCCATTAGGGTTTAGGGTTTAGGGTTTAGGGTTTAGGGTTTAGGGTTTAGGGTTTAGGGTTTTACATCGACGGCCTTTGTGAGGCTCTATGTATACGACGGGCATTGAACCCCGTGGAACTTTGAAAAGTCGCTCCAAGTCGGCCTCAGTAAAAACGAAACCCACATCGCCAGCATCCCTAAACCCTGATTCCTAAACCCGAAGCCCTAAACCCTAATTAGACCCCTAAACCTAAACCCTAAACCCTAAACCCTAAACCCTAAACCCTAAACCCTAAACCCTAAACCCTAAACCCTAAACCCTAAACCCTAAACCCTAAACCCTAAACCCTAAACCCACCCCAAACCTAAACACAGATTGCCGGCATGGTGTCCATCACAACCTCTGGACGGCACGGTGCCAGGCCAGCGGTGGGCTGCTTGCCTCCCAGACCCTAAACCTTAAACCCTAAACCCTAAACCCTAAACCCTAAACCCTAAACCCTAAACCGCCACTTTCCGGCTTCGTGTTTAGAGCCTAGGGTGCAAAAGCCTCAAAAACACCCCAAATGATTACTGGCTCCTCCACACCCTTCCACCCTACAACCCTCAAAACCCATTCTTGGGGTCGTTGGGGGTTTCCCAACTACTTGGGGTCCTTCGAAAATGCCCGAGTGCGGACAGCGCGACCGGTAAAGGGGTACTTGAAGGATCGTGTGTGGTGGCAGGTGACCAGGTAGGTGGAAAGTGCCTTCAATATCTACTTTTGTCCATAGCACTAACCACTGAGTACAAAATCGTTTCAAGTAATTACTGCTAGGGGGGGAAGAGAGAGGCGGGGTGGGGGCGCGCTCAAAACAAACGTCAGCAATGATTGACACCACACGCGAAGAAACCCCTAAACCCTAAACCCTAGATGCTAAAACCGAAACTCAACAATGCATAAACAAAAGCAAAATTATGCATAAGCAAATCTTCGGGAGCCCGCTAAGGCACCGATGTGCAAAACATGTGCATTCTCCCTTATGCATTGGTTTAGGGCTTAGGGTTTAGGGTTTAGGGCTTAGGGCTTAGGGCTTAGGGTTTATGGTTTTCTTGGCTGCACTTAGTAGGGTAGCTATAAATTAAACTTGTAGCTGCCTGATTAAGAAACCCAATAAACCCAAAAAGGGCTAAGGATCTAAAGTTACAGTAAAGCACCACAGAGTTTTATGCTTAAGCATGTTTGCTTATGTGTCTTTCTGCTGATGCATGTTTCTGCTTATGCATATTCGGGATATGCAAAATATGCTTTGTTGGGCTTGCCGGACTTGCAGCATATTCAGCTGGAAAGTAATCATGACCCTATAACGTAAACCCTAAAGCCTAAACCCTCAACCCTCAACCCTAAACCCTAACCGAGAGGCGGGAGTTCTTCTTCCTCCGGGAGGCCTGCTGAGTCCCAGAGCATCTCTCGCGCTGGTGTCCGATGCTCGCCACACACCTTGGCCAGGAATGAATCCATGTCCCTGTGAAGGGTTTAGGGTTTAGGGTTTAGGGTTTAGGGTTTAGGGTTTAGGGTTTAGGGTTTAGGGTTTAGGGTTCAGGGTTTAGGGTTTAGGGTTTGGGGTTTAAGGTTCAAGGTTTACGGTTTAGCGTTTAGGGAAGCCCGAAACACCCTCAAACACCCTCATGATATCATAAGGCTCTTAAGGGAGGGGGGGTTATGTGGGTACCGGGGTCGGTACTTAGACCTTAGGGGAAGCTTAGGGCACCTTAGAGAGAAGTGGGGAGGATTAAGGAACGTTGAAGCCCCCTCCGCAAACGCTATAAACCCTAAGCCTAAACCCTTCAACCCCAAACCCTAAGCCCCAAACTCTACGTGAAACCCTAAACCCAAACCCTAAACCCCAAACCCTAAACCCCAAACCCTAAACCCCAAACCCTAAACCCTAAACCCCAAACCCTAAACCCCAAACCCTAACCCGATAAACCCTAAACCCCAAACCCTAAACCCCAAACCCTAAACCAGCTAAACCCTAAACCCCAAATCCTAAACCCTAAACCCTAAAGCCCCTGCAGCACTTCCTGAGGCTCCGCGCCCAGAAAATGCGGTCCGAGCGCACGGTGGGGACAGAGAGTTGGGCGCCGGAAGCCTGTGGGTTTGAAAAGGGGTTTAGGGTTTAGGGTTTAGGGTTTAGGATGTAGGGTTTAGGGTTTAGGGCTTAGGGTTTAGGATTTAGGGTTTAGGGATTCCAGGGCTTGAAGGGTCCAGGGTGTTCAGTGCTTTGGCTGCTTGGGGTTTGAAGGGGCTGGGGTATGTGAGGGTTTAGGGTTTAGTGGTTTAGGCTTAGGGGGAGTTTAGGGTTTAAGGTCTAGGGCTTAGAGTGCGCAAGGGTTTTGAGTTCCTGGGGCTTCTAGGGTGTTTGCTTTACGTATTTGAATTTATTTTCAGAAATGTTCTTCTATTTTGTGTTTTTGCGATTTTTTTGGGGGGAGAGCGGGGTCTTGGCTTTGACGGACGTAGGGGCTTGTCATTTGAGCTGAAGGGTTGATTCACAGGGTTTTATAGGCGAGGGGGGGGGGAGATCCTGGACCCTCAACCCCCCCCGAAGCGGAAGCCGCGCCTGCTTTCCCACCCAGATCTTGGCGGTCTCGAAATCCTGGTCATACTTCAAGGATCAGGGGGCTTAGTACGTGGGGTTAGAAGTAAGGTCACTATACGTACAATTTGCTTATCAGCACAATTAAAGTACCCTAAACCCTAAACCCTAAACCCTAAACCCTAAACCCTAAACCCTAAACCCCAAACCCTAAACCCTACCTACTAAGTGCCCCGATCCTGGTCATAGGCAGCAAGCTCGGCCGCTAGCAGTCGCACCTTGGAAGTTGCAAGGTGGCTGCTATAGAGACCCAGGAGAGGGTTTAGGGTTTAGGGTTTAGGGTTTAGGGTTTAGGGTTTAGGGTTTAGGGTTTAGGGTTTCGGGTTTCGGGTTTAGGGTGTCGGGTTTAGGGTTTATGGCAAGGCCCAAGATTCTTCTAGGAATACAAGGGTACCCTTTTGGGTTTAAAGCGGCCTAAGGGAAACCTAAACCCCAAACAAGGGAATAGGGGTCTATTTTGGGTCCGCTGTTGGGGCTTGGATTGTATCTTACCTGAAGGCTCATGGGAATTAATGTCGTATCCTGATTAGTCTGGACCCCTCCAATAATGAAAAGTTTTCCAAAAATTATTCAGGAGACAAAAATTCGATTGCCCCCCCACAATAAAGTAAAGTTTTTCGGGCATGGGTTTCGGAAGAGAGAAAAAAAGAGAACAAGATGATAAAAGAAAAGAAGCTTACCTGAGCTGAGCTCATCTGAGCTTACCTGAGCTTAATTACCTAAGAGGAGAGGGAGAGGAAGAGGAGAGGGAAGAGGAGCGAAGAGGAAATGAAGAGGAGCCGGTGGGGGGGGCCCGGGGCCGAAAATTAGTTTGGGGGGGTCCCTTTTTTTGGTGACACTATTGCGGGGGTGGATTTAGTTTGGGGGGGGGGGGCCCCCCCACACTAATCAGGATACCACATTACTAACTGGCTGCAGTTGGTGAGTTCAGCCTATATACTCTCAGCTAGCCCAAATACAGAGCCCAAATACAGTTAGTTTGTAAAAAAGTCCCTTGAGCCGTTCAGGTACGGGGTCAGTGCTTATATAGGGCTTCAGGCTCACAAGGTTTGGGAGTAATAGGGTTTAGGGTTCATGGGGTTGTGGGCCTTTAGGGTTTAGGCTATAAAGTTTGGGCTTTATGCCAGATTGTGGGCTTAATATTTAGAGGGTTGTGCGTTCATGAGAATGCACCTTCATGGGGTGCCATTTCTGGTAACCATCCTGACACCCAAACCCTATGCCCTAAGCTCGCCCTTGTCATTCATTAAGGGCTGAAGGTTAGGGACTTGAAGTTCAGGGTTTAGGGTTCATAACGGTTCGAAAGTTTAGGGATCTATTCATGTATTGAGAGTTTAGGTCTTAGGGCCCTAGGCCCTAAACCCCAAACCCTAAAGGTTTACCACACTCAAGAGGAAGCTAGGAATAACACGGGGACCATTTCTGGGTTACAGAGGTTTTCAGGGAAGCTCAACCCTAACAACAAAGGGGATAAGTGCCTACTCTGGGTCCTTGTAACCCTAAGCCGTAAACCCTACACCCTAAACCCTAAACCCTAAACCCTAAACCCTAAACCCTAAACCCTAAACCCTAAACCCTAAACCCTAAACCCTAAACACACGGAATAAGGGCCTACTCTGAGTCCTAGTGTAGGTGTCGAGGGTCATCCTCGGGCGATGCGAAGTTGTCGCAGATGGCATAGCCTGACACAGGGTGGCCCTGTAGTAGCAAACCCTAAACCTGAAACCCTAAACCCTATAAGCCCGAACGACGTACAAGTACTCCATCTGCACAAACGTCCGTGAGCTAGAGCCCTAAAACCCTAAAAAAACTCGAACAGTCCGAAAACCCCCCCCCCCCCCCCCACCTCCCCCCCGCCTTGCGCCTCTAGGAGACATGAGACGGCCTTGGGGGCGGGGAGTTGGAGGGGGGGGGGGGGGGGGGGGCTGTAGGCTTTTAGGGTTTTGGGGTTCATGGACTTGCGGTTTTGGGCAGGGTTTAGGGTTTAGGGTTTAGGGTTTAGGGTTTAGGGTTTAGGGTTTAGGGTTTAGGGTTTAGGGTTTAGGGTTTAGGGTTTCGGGTTTCGGGTTTCGGGTTTCGGGTTTCGGGTTTCGGGTTTCGGGAGCCTTTTTCGTGGAGGACAGGAGAGGCCCAAGGCAGGATTGACCCTTTGCGCCGCCCTCCCCTGCCCCACCAGAGACGTTTGAGTGACTAAATCCCTAAACCCTAAACCCTAAACCCTAAACATTAAACCCTAAACCCTAAACCCTAAACCCTAAACCGCCAGGAAACCATGGAAGGGAGCCGAGCATTTGGGGCTCCTCCTCCCGGATTTTGTGGTCGCCAGACGCACACAGGCGTCCGCACAGTCGTCTGGGTCGAGTTGGCTTGGACGAAAGTCAGCTACGCACTGAGTCAGGGCTCGCGACGAACGTCAGCAAACCCTAAATCGTAAACCCTATAAACCTTAAAGCCTAAACTCTAAACCCCGATCGGATTCTGGTTTTTGTACCCGGGGCGGTGTCGGACTCAAGGGCTCCGATACTCTCAGTTCGAGACAGTCAACGCTGAAACTTGTAGCCCTTGTCCGAGCTTACTGGCCTAGGGTTTAGCATCCCTAAATCCTAAACCCTAAACCCTAAACCCTAAATCCTAAACCCTAAACCCTAAACCCTAAACCCTAAACCCTAAACCCTAACCCTAAACCGCAAACCCTAAACCCTATAGGGCAGGGCTTCCGGGTTTGGGCAGTCCGCGGCTTTGCGGGAAGTTTGGGGTGGACAGTGTGTGTTCTGAAGTGAAACGGCCGCACAGTTACCTTTGTAAACCCTAACCCTATGAACCCTACAGACTCTAATGGACCCTGTAGACCCTACGCACCCTGTAGACCGTAAAAACCTTATAAACCCCTAAACCCTAACCCTAACACATATAAACCCTCAAACCCTACACCCACTGAAGCCCTATAAACCCCTAAACCCTGCACCCTAAACCCCAAACCCCAAGCCCCCAAACCCCAAACCCCAAACCCTAAACCCTAAACCCTAAACCCCAAACCCCAAACCCTAAACCCTAAACCCTAAACCTCCCAGGTGCCCAAGAAGGAAAGCCAGGTCTCATGGAGAAGCCGGCGCGAAGCTGCAGCCGGCCCCTGCCACGCGGCGGACCTCGTCTCCCAAAGGCTTTGGGGTGTTGGGTTTAGCTAGGGTTTAGGGTTTAGGGTTTAGGGTTTAGGGTTTAGGGTTTAGGGTTTAGGGTTTAGGGTTTAGGGTTTAGGGTTTAGGGTTTAGGGTTTAGGGTTTAGGGTTTAGGGTTTAGGGCTGGGGCTTAGGGCTTGAGGGGTCAGGGTTTAGGGTTTAGGGCTTTTAGGGCTCTGGGTTTAGGGGCTTTTAGGGCTTGAGGGATTCGAGTTTCACTAGACCCAAGAGTAACCTATGAATAACAAAGAGTGCCTCTTTTTGGCTAACCGGGGCTTATAAGGGAACCTAAACCCTAACAAGAAACGGAAAAAAAAAAAAACACAAAAAGGAAATAGGAGGCTACTCTGGGTCCCGGCTCACTCATGGTACCGATTGTTTTTTCGAAGCCTTATACTTGGGGGACCACAGTTTGGACATTTGGAAGACCCCCCCCCCCCCCCCCCCGCCCCACCCGAACCTCAAACCTGTGAACCCTGTAAACCCTTAGCGCTCTCTTGAACCTCTATAAGTCTACAAACCCTATAAATAGAAACCTGTAAACACAGTAAGCCCTGCACACCCTGGAAACCACAAAGCCTGCAAACCCTGTAAACACTATAAACCCTGCAAACCCTGCAAACCCTAAACACTCAACCCTAAACTCCTCAAGCCCAAACCCTAAACCCCAAACTCTAAACCCCTCAGCCCCAAACCCGAAACCCCAAACTCGACACCCCTCAAGCCCAAACCCTAAACCCCAAACTCTAAACCCTAAACTTCCCTACACCCCAAACTCTAAACGCCTCAACCCTAAACCCTAACCCCTAAACACCAAAATCTACACCCCTCTCTACACCCTGCAAACTATGTAAACCCTGTAAACCCTGTGAAACCTGAAAAACCTATGAATCACCGCAAACCCTGTAAACCCTGCACCTTAAACCGCAAACCCCAAACCCCAAACCCCAAACCCCAAACCCCAAACCCCAAACCCCAAACCCCAAACCCCAAACCCTAAACCCTAAACCCTAAACCCTAAACCCTAAACCCTAAACCCAAACCCTGTACACCCTGAAGCCTACAGCTCAAAGGCACGCATCCAGTGGTGGCATCGGCAGCGGCACGGTCTGTGGCGTCGGCTGCTGGCTCGCAAGGACCTTCCCCCCCCTAAACCCTAAACCCTAAACCCGAAACCCTAAACCCTAAACCCTAAACCCTAAACCCTAAACCCAGAACTATAGCTTTGGACTCCTTGAAACAGCGGAATTGCGCTAACTCTCAGGAACAAAGACGGTATCCTGAACCTTAAGCTTATAAGCCCTAAACCCTAATACAAAGTTAGGATCAAAAACCCTAAACCCTAAACCCTAAACCCTAAACCCTATTCAGGGGTTGCTCTCGGTGGGCTCATGGCTTCGAGCATAGGGCTCATAAATGTCTGTAGATCGGGGAGTGCCTTAAGGCACACGCGTGGAGTTCCTATCTGGTTGAGGGTTTTGGGATGAAGGTTCACAATAGAACTACATTTAGCCATGGATACTTAAAGGATCAGGGGACTTAGTAAGTGGGGCTCTAGGTAAGGTAATTATATAACTAATTAAAAGCTCTATTAAAGCAATTAAAGTAATTATATAACCAATTAAAAGCTCTATTAAAGTAATTAAAGTAATTATATAACTAATTAAAAGCCCTATTGAAGTAACTAAAGCCCTGCGGACCTTCTTCACCTCTGCCAGTAGCCGTTGAAGAACTTGCTGCTTCCTGACTTGTGGGGCTTTGGCTTCGGTGTTAAGGTTGCCAGCTTTGCGTTAGCCTTAAAGCCCTAATTAAACCCTATACACCCTGAAGCCACTGAAGCCCAAACCCTTAAACTCTAAACGCCCATAAACCCTAAACCCTACCCCCCCCCCCCCCCCCCCCAAAAAAAAAAAAATAGAATAAATAAAAAAAAAAAAAAATAAAAAGGGGGGGGGGAAGGGGGGGGAGGAGGAAAGGGGGGAGGGGGGGGGGAAGGGGGGGAGGGGGGGGGCCTACACTGGGTCCTGGCAGTTGTACCTTCGGTCATCATCCATGCATGCCTTATAGAGCGCCCAAAGCCTCCGGGCTTAGGGTTCAGGGCTTGGGTTTCACACGGGTTTAGGGTTTAGGGTTTAGGATTAGGGTTTAGGGTTTAGGGTTTAGGGTTTAGGGTTTAGGGTTTAGGGTTTAGGGTTTAGGGTTTAGGGTTTAGGGACCTTGCAGGCTGGTATTTCATTTTTATCCTTGGGAGTTTTAGGTTTGTAGCCTCCACAGTGAACGAGCGCTACCTTCCGCAGAAGCAAAGGGCTTGGGCTTACCCAGTAAGCAGATTGTAATAAAGGCACTTTGGGATGTTCCCCCTTTTTCTAACAGTCCTTCATAGGGATTAAAGTACCCCCTGTCCTAATGCCTATTGAGGACTGCTAATACAAGGGGGAAGATCCCAAAGGTTCATTTCTGGAGATCAGACGTGACAATGGAATTCCGGGGTTCGGCAACCTCGCGGCTTCGCCTCGCAGCCTCGCGGCCTCGCGACCTCGCGACCTCACCACCTCACAACCTTACACAACCTCGCGACCTCGCGGCCTCGCAACCTCGCGGCCTCGCAACCTCGCGACCTCGCGGCCTCGCAACCTCGCGACCTCATTCATTGTCAGGTCTTTCTGAACATTTAAGATAGGGCCTTAATAACTAGACTAGGTTTTTGGGGGGTTCCTTTTACACCAGGGCCCCAGGCCTCCGAGCTTCACGGGTGAAAGCCATGATGTGCTTCCGATCCCCGGGGTGTATGGGTTTGGGGGTTGAGGGTTTAGGGTTTAAGACAATAATCCCTAACTCTATATTGCACTTTATTATAAGGAACCACATGTCTCTATATATATATATATATATATATTTTTTTTTTTTGGGGGGGGGAGGGGGGGCGGGGGGCCTCTCAAGCAACGACAAGTTGAAGGGATGCAAAACCCAACTGAACTCGACCCAAGAGTAACATGGGAAGAAGTCTGGCACCCTTTTTGGTCCAAAAGGGCTGACGAAGGAACCTTCACTCAAGTCTTCAAAGAAGGAAGAAGAGTCAATCCTTCTTCCCTTCGTGTCCTTTGACACCCTAAGGGTCCATGTATCTTATTATTATACACTTGGGCCCCCCAAAGTCTTTCTCTAGTAGGTACTCTGAGGCCGAAGCATACCCTATTTAGGTACATGGACCCTTAGGGACACTGGCCTCCTCCAGCAAGCGCACGACGTCAGCCTTCCTGCGGACGTCGCGGATGTCAGCCGCCCACCTCAGGGCCGTGCGGCCACAATTGTCGGCCGCATCCTTGTCAGCGTTCGCCTCCAACAGCGCGCGCACGACTTCAACCTGTCCTGCAAGAACTGTGAACAAACGCACCACTTCCATGGCCGCGGTAGGCTGCGCACATGAGGGCTGTGTAGCCATCCAGGTTGTCGCGGTTGTCAGAGACTCCATCGGCCACGTCCATGTCTGCGCCGGCCTTGAGCAGCAAACGCACCATGTCCACGTGGCCCGTGGCCGCCGCGCTCACGAGCGGCCTTCGACCGGCTGCGGGGACACTTGGATCCAGGGGCAGCTGCAGTAAGGACGCGACCTGGCCATGATCCGGTGGTGCAGGGGAACCCTAAACCCTGTAAACCCTGAACCCTGAACCCTAAACCCTAAACCCTATACCCTATACCGGGCGCCCCCTATCACAACATTGAAAGTATTCTAAATTGCTGCCGTCCTCTTCCACCGAGCCATGGCCGGCGGCAGTTCTGAGCTCGTCCCCTTCTGCCTGGGTAGTGGTGGCATAAGATAGCACCGCAAGCTCAAGGTCCAGGGGCGAGTCCGCATCGAGCCATGCAGCTGGTGCAAGCACCGCTTCAGATCCCACCCTAAACCCTGAACCCTAAGCCCTAAACCCTAAACCCTAAACCCTAAACCGTTGCTCACCTCCTCCACAGGCACATGCAGCTCTTCTCCCGAGAGCCTGCGGATGCGCAGCATCCTGGTCGCATGCAAGGAGGGGCCCCCTAGTTATAAGTAGAGTTGTAAGAGCCCTAAGTTTGGTTATAAGGATCCTAAATTAGGTGATAAGTGCCTTAACTACAGTTGGCATAGTAAGGTGGCCCCTCTTTTTCAAAAAGTCTCTGGCCTTTCTGACCAAGCTAACAAACACGGCTGCGCCTCATCGACAGTCCGAGACAAGATATGGATGGCATTAAATTCCTGGGAACTCATGTCATGGACTGCGGAAATAAGGTTTAGGGTTTAGGGTTTAGGCTTTTGGCTTTAGGGTTTAGGGTTACAGAACCTAACTTACGTTGAGTTGGAAGGTTTTGGGTTTAGGGTTTAGGGTTCAAGGTGTAGGGGCTTCTGCGCTTAAGAGAGCTTGAGGCTGTACGGTTCAGGGTATCGGGTTTAGGCCCTGAGGGTTTAGGGTGGGGTTTACGCGGACATGATTGAAGAGACCTAAAGCAACATGTATACGTGTACAACCCTAACATTGTTGACCCGAGATGGGTTTGGGGGTTTAGGGTTCAGAGATAGTTACCTCAAACCCCAAACCCTAAACTTAAACCCTAAACCCTGCTCCCTAAATCCCAGACCCTTAACCCTAAACCAACCCTAAACCCTGAGGGGTTGGGGTCCGATGCCTAAGGTTGTGGAAGGGTTTCAGCGCGCCTTTGATGGCCGCAGGCTTGGGCGTTCTCCAGGTTTGCCGACCTTCAAACCCTGTAGGGTATCCGAAGTATGGGTTTAGGGGTCAGGGATTTAGGGTTTAGGGTTTAGGGTTGAGGGTTGAGGGTTGAGGGTTGAGGGTTGAGGGTTGAGGGTTTAGTGTATCCCAAGTATGGGTTTAGGGGTTTCGGGGTTTGGAGTTTAGGGTTGAGTTTAATTTGGGTCCCCTGGAATATTTCTTTACATTTATTCTACATAATAACGGCCCATACTGCTTTAAATCCCTTTAAACAAGGGTAAGGGACCATACTCAGGGCCTGGTTCCAACCCTGGGCCCTAAAGGGCTTTAGGCTTCAGGGTTTAGGGTTTAGGGTTTAACGTTTAGGGTTTACTGTAGGGTTTAGGGTTTAGGGCTTAGGACTTGGGGTTGAGGGTGTAGGGCTTAGGGTACGGCGGTATTACAGGGCTTAGAGGGCTTAGGTTTACAGGCTTTACTGCAGGCATTGCAGGGTTTAGGGTTTAGGGTGTACGGCTTGGGGATTATAGGGGTTTGCGGGAACCCTAAACCCTATACCCTAAACCCTAAACCTTAAACCCTGAACCCGATTCCCTCTTTCAAGGGTTTGGGGTTTTAGGGCATCTTTCTGAGGGCTTTGGGGCTGGAACCTCTACGGTTTGGTATTTGAAGGCGATGTTGGAGCGTCAGATTGGGAGATCGGGTTTCGGGTTTCGGGTTTAGGGTTGAGAGGGTTGAGGGTTGAGGGTTTAGGGTTTAGGGTTTAGGGTTTAGGGTTTAGGGTTTAGGGTTTAGGGTTCAGGGTTTATAAGCCTTCAGGAGAATTTGCGAATGCGGCTCGAAGTCCAGGCTCCCCTGGTATCCTGGGATACCCGGATACCCTAAGCCTGAACCCAGGGTTTGGGGTCTTGAGGGTTTCGGGATCACGGTTCCTAAACCCTAAACCCTAAACCCTAAACCCTAAACCCTAAACCCTAAACCCTAAACCCTCACGAAACCTCAGAGCCAAAGAGCTTCCAAGCTCGTAACCCCCAACCTCCACCCCACCCTCCCCCCAACACCCAAAAGGTGCTACTTCGGGCTTGGGGTTTCCAGGGTTTAGGGTTTAGGGTTTAGGGTTTTAGGGTTTTAGGGTTTAGGGATTCTAGGGCTTATAGGAGTATAGGGTTTATAGGGTTTATAGGGCTTATAGGGTTTATAGGGTTTATAGGGTTGGGGTTTCTAGAGATTCTAGGGCTATACTCAACATCCTACCTGGATCATCCTGGCTACTTATATCTACGGTTTAGGGTTTAGGGTTGAAAGGGTTTCTAGGGCTCATAGGGTTTATAGGGTTTATAGGGTTTATAGTGTTTATAGGGTTTATAGGGCTTATAGGAGTATAGGGTTTATAGGGTTTCTAGGGTTTGCAGGGTTTGTAGGTTTCATGGGGTTTCCAGGGTTTATAGGGTTTCGGGATCCCTAATCCGTAAGCCGTCTCCCAAACTGGGCTGGTTCAGGACTTCGCGTTTATGGGGCTTGGTGCCACAGCGTGGCCCACTTCTTCTTTTCTTTTTTGTTGTTTTGATTTCTAGGGTTTGCATCCTGAATTCTGGGTCCACTGTTGGCCACGCCAGCTATATGAACAAACAAGCAAAAAGCTATGGTAAGGCCCGCCTCCCCCCAACAGGCCCCTAGAATCGGATCGGCCCCATTAATACTCCCAAGGAAGTCATGGGAGTCTTCAACTAAAGCTTCTCAACTCAGGGGACAGGACCTTGGTGTCTAGGGTTTAGGGTTTAGGGCTATACCCTGAACCCAAACCCTCAAACCTGAAACCCTAAACCCTCAAACCTAAAACCCTCAACCATTGAGCCCTGAACCTAAGCTTTAAACCCCAAGCAATCAAACTTGAAATCCTAAACTCTCACACCTAAATCCCTCAACCTGGAACCCAAGAGTAACCCAGAAATTGAAAGGGTACCCTTTTTGGTTTAACAGGGGCTTATAAGGGTTACTAACCCCCCCCCCAAAAGAGGAAAGGGCCCACATTGAACCCTGGCACCCACTAAGCCCTGAACCGAAGCCTGGTGGCCGTTTAGAGTTGTGCTGGGTTTAGGGTCTACTTTTTAGGGTTTGGGGTTTGTTTAGGGTTGAAGGTTTAGGGTTTAGGGTTTAAGGTTTAGGGTTTAGGGGATAGGGGTTAGGGTTTAGGGTTTAGGGTTACTATAGGGGTCGGAATAGCTACTAAGAATATTCCCTTGTGGTCCCTATATAACTATCCTATAAAAACCTCCAAATATATATATATATATATAGATAATAATAGTAATAATAATAATAAATGATAATAATAATCATCATCATCATCATATTAACACCCCTATCTTACAGGGTCTAGGGCTTCGGAGGGAAATCAGGGCCTATGGAACTTCAAAAACCAACTCCAAGTCAACCCCAGAAACCCAAAACCCAAACCCTAAACCCCCAAACCCGAAAACCCTGAAACCCGAAACCCCCAAACCCGAAAACACTGAAACCCTAAACCCCCAAACCCGAAAACCCTGAAACCCTAAACCCCAAACCCTAAACCCAAAACCCCAAAGCCTAAGCCCCCAAACCCACAGCCTAAAACCCTAAAACCCTAAACACCTTAAACACTTAAACCCTAAAACCCTAAAACCCTAAAACCCTAAAACCCTAAAACCCTAAAGCCCTAAAACCCTAAAACCCTAAAACCCTAAAACCCTAAAACCCTAAAACCCTAAAACCCTAAAACCCTAAAACCATAAACCCCTTAAACCCTGAGACCCTAAAACCCCATAACCCTAAAACCCCATAACCCTAAAACCCTAAAACCCCAAAACCTCAAAACCCTAAAACCCTAAACCCCCAAAACCCCTAAAACCCTAAAACCCTAAAACCCCAAAACCCTAAAACCCTAAAACCCCAAAACCCTAAAACCCTAAACCCCCAAAACCCCTAAAACCCTAAAACCCCAAAACCCTAAAACCCCAAAACCCCTAAAACCCTAAAACCCTAAAACCCCAAAACCCTAAAACCCCAAAACCCCAAAAACCCTAAAACCCTAAAGCCCTAAAACCCCTAAAACCCTAAAACCTAAAACCCTAAACCCTAAACCCTAAAACCCTAAAACCCTAAAACCCTCAAACCCTAAAACCCAAAAACCCTAAAACCCAAAAAACCCTAAACCCCCCCAAAACCAACAGCAGGTGAGTAGCACGGTTTCCAGCAAGGCCCAGGTGACATCGCTGCGCCGCCCAGCGAGAAGCTGCAACATCGCCTTTGCAGGATCTTGCGGGTTTAGGGTTTAGGGTTTAGGGTTTAGGGTTTAGGGTTTAGGGTTTAGGGTTTAGGGTTTAGGGTTTAGGGTTTAGGGTTTAGGGTTTAGGGTTTAGGGTTTAGGGCTTGAGGGTTTGGGGTTTAGGGCCTAGGGTGTAGGGTGTAGGGTTGAGGGTTTCGGGTTTCGGTGGAGTCTATATTAAGCATCGGAACAAAACCCCTTGGAACAAAATCGGGGCCGTCTTGTTCCAGCCACACCGCATGGACCACAATATATAGAACTGACCACACCAACCACCCAAACCTACCCTAAAACCTAAACCCTAAACCCCAAACCTTAAACTCCAAACCCTGAACCCTGCACCCTCAGCCCACATGCAATGGTCTGAGGTGGCTTTGGGGATTTTAGGGATGTGCTTTATGGTTTACCTGGACCCTAAACACAAAACCCTCAAACCCTTAAACCCCAAGCCCTCAACTTTTTTGGGAAATGCACGAGCGAGCTGAATGACTCGCAGAACTGGGGTTTGATGTTAGTTATAGGGAGCGCGGCTCCATTGGGGTTCAGGGGTTTAGGGGCTAGGGTTGCGGGTTTAGGGCTTAGGTTTTAGGGCTTAGGGTTTACATGAACTGCACATTCCTCCCACCTGTTATGCATTGGTTGGCTGGGGGCGTTGCTTCAGAGCTGTTGTCTAAGGATATGCTCCCTTACCTTCCTGAAACAATTCTGAAATGTGGGCCCTCGGTTTGAGAAGCGTGCATCCAGGCTATAGAAGGGCTAACAAAATTCAGAGTTTAGGGGTTTAAGGGTTTAGGGTTTACGGTTTATCTAGTATTTAGGGTTTAGAGCCACGGACTGGACTTATTGCCCATGCAACTACCCTAAAATGCTGGGCATTGCACATTTCGGGCTCGAGGTCAATGTCCTGGAGTAGCCTAGCAGTTTAAGAATATCTTTATTGAGGGCTGGGATTTAGGGTTTGGGATGTTCAGTTAAGGGCTGAAGAATCAGAAAGAACCTACAAGCCCTTAATCCCTTAAAACGCCGACTCTGGCAAGCTGGGGGCGAGCGTGAGTGAAGGGCTTTTTGGCTTAGGGTTTAGGGTTTAGGGTTTAGGGCTGCAGGCGAGAGACGTCGGACCCTCCGGTGCTTAGCAGCTCCTGGCGGACGTGCGCTTTACCTACCCCCACCTTGGGGTTCGCCTAGAGAGCAACACGCTAAGGAGGGTTTAGGGTTTAGGGTTTAGGGTTTAAGGTTTAGGGTGTCGGTGTAAGGAAACAGGTCACCAGGTGCGGCTTGAGGTTTACAAGCCCAGAAAAATCTTCAGACCTAAACCCTAACCCGAAATCACTAGTGGAATATATGTATATATGTATATAGAGAGAGAGATAGATAGAGAGAGAGAGAGAGAGAGAGAGCGAGAGAGCGAGAGAGTGAGAGAGAGAATGCAAAACGAGCTGCAGCTAACTCCAAGTCTGGGTCATGCCAAAACCCTACACCCTGAACTCTAAACATTGAAAGGCTTATCAGCCTCGTCAGTTTGTGTTCAGGATGTAAGGCACCCCACAAATCGCTTAACCATTTTTTAGCCGAACCTCAACGGCATCCACAGCCACGGTTTAGGGTTTAGGGATTCGGGTTTAGGGTTTAGGGTTACCTGTAGAGATGTGACATCAAAGTAGGGTTTAGGGCGTTAGGGTTTGAGGTCTAGGGTGTCATAGCGAAGCTGGGAAGGTTCCAGGGCATCGGATCAATTCCGTGCAAGAGTAAGGCTTACTGACGAATGTGCCAAAAGCCGGCGCAGCAGGATGTGGTAGCGTTTCCAAAAATGTCTCCCCAAAATAAGCCACCTCTTTACTAGGTTGCCCAGTAACCTCGGCCTTAAAGGGTGTCCTTTTGCTTAAAGGGGTTTATAGGGGGGCCTAGAGCCCCAAAAAGGGAATAAGGGCACATCTGGGGGGCCAATTGTATTCAATAAAACTCCAAGCTACTGTAGTTTCTTGCAGACATCGGGGATTTGGGTACAAAGATTCGAGAGTTCGGGTTTTGGGTTGAGGGTTCAGGGTTAAAGGTTGCAAAGACGCCTCTCCAGAAACCCCAAGCCCTAAACCCTAAACCCTAAACCCTAAACCCTAAACCCTGAAGACATGAGGAGGGTAAATCTCCTGCGTCTCAGCTCTGATTCCTTGCGAGCCTTTTTGTGACTGCATCTTCGCCACGAGTCGTGGAGGTTCATTCGTTCCTAAACCCTGATTACCCTAAACCCTAGACCTTAGACCCTAAACCCTAAACCCAAAACCAAGATCTGCACCCCTAAGCACTACACCCTAAACCCTATAGCCCGAAACCCTAAACCCTATAGCCCTAAACCCTAAACCCTAAACCCTAAACCCTAAACCCTAAACCCTATAGCCCAAGAACCCCATAGACCTGCATGTGGGGAAGCGCACCTTCGCAACGAGTGGGTGACACTTATAGGGTTCTGAAGGGAGGGAGGTTCAAGGGGGGGTAGGTGCCTAGGGAACCTTAGGGTTTAGGGTTTAGGGTTTAGGGTTTAGGGTTTAGGGTTTAGGGTTTAGGGTTTAGGGTTTAGGGTTTAGGGTTTGCAACCCAAGGCTCCCTAATACTCCCTACTGCTCCCCAAGGCTCCCTAAGCTTCCCTGAGGTTCCTTAGGTACCTACCCCCCTTGAACCCTAAACCCTAAACCCTAAACCCTAAACCCTAAACCCTAAACCCTAAACCCTAAACCCCAAACCCTGAGGTTCGCTAGGTGCCTACCGACCCCCCTAGAACCCCCCCTCCCTTAAGAACCCCATAAGACTAGGCTGCCCAGTAACCTAGGCTTAAAAAGGGTGCCCTTTTTTTGCTTAAAGGGGTACGGGAACCTAAACTCCCCAAAAAGGGAATAAGGGTACTACTGGGTATCCTAGTTCAATAATGTCTTTTTCTACAAGGGCTCTACTGTCCAACCCATTTAAGGACCTGCAAAACACGTAGAATGAAACAGTCTGATGGGAATTGCATCGACGCCATCGCGGGGGTTGGGGCGTGAGGGCCAATTGCGCTAGGTACCTACCCCCCTTGAGCCACCCTCCCTTAAGAACCCTATAAGACAATGCCGGCCGTGTCCTGCCAGGCCGGAAACCTTTGAGCAGTCTCATCTTCCAGGAGATGTTCGGTTTAAGGGCGATTTGTAGGGTTTAGGGTTTAGGGCTTGAGGGCTTGAGGGCTCGAGGGCTTAGGGTGTTCGCTACAATGTGTCCGGACCACCCAAATTAAAACCTTGACGGGAACCCCCCCCCCCCCCTCCCCAAGAAAAAAAAACAAAAACCCACACTCCAAACCCCAAACCCGAAACCCGAAGCCCTAAGCCCTCCAACGCGAAACCCCGAACCTCACCAAACCCTAAAAGGTTTAGGGTTTAGGGTTTACCAGACCCTAGACTTGCGATGTTCCCCCTGAAACTAACAGTCCTTGATAGTTCTTATAACAGGGGGTACTAGAATCCCTATTAAGGACTGTTTGTAACCCTAAACCCTAAACCCTAAACCCTAAACCCTAAACCCTAAACCCTAAACCCTAAACATCCCAAGGTTTAGTGTTTACCAGACCCTGGGTCCTGAAACCTGCTCCGGGTGCTCGACCCCGACGCCCAACAAAAAAATAGGGTTTAGGGTTTAGGGTTTAGGGTTTAGGGTTTAGGGTTTAGGGTTTAGGGTTTAGGGTGACAACTTCAAACACCTAAAGCTTTAAATCCCTAGACTAGACCCTAAGACCCTAAACCCTAAACTCCAAACCCCAAACCCTAAACCCTATTAGTGTTCAGTCCCTGGAAGGAGACAGCTGAACCGAGACAGGAGATCATCGGATCCCCAAAGAACCGCCAGATAACGGAGTGGGGTTTCGGGTTAAGGGTTAAGGGTTTAGGGTGAGGGACCATTCCTTGAGAGCACTAAGGGGTATAAGGGCTTTGGGGCGGTTCCCGTGTGGATCCCACGATTGGAGACAGACGAAGAAATGCGTCGCTGTCGCATGGTGGGCCGTGGCGATGGAGATTCGGGTTTACGGTTTGCCCTAAACCCTAAACCCTAAACCCTAAACCCTAAACCCTAAACCCTAAACCCTAAACCCTAAACCTTGAACCCTAAACCCTAAAACCGTAAACCCTAAACCCTAAACCCTAAACCCTAAACCAGGACCCTAAACCCTATACCCTAAACCTTAAACCCTACACCCCAAACCCTTGTACGTAGGCTAGTAGGGACCTTAAGTTGGGCATACGCAGAACAACTTAGGCTACAAGCCCCTAAGCTATAGCTATAGTTTTCAGGGGTTCAGGGGTTCAGGGTTTAGGGTTTAGGGCTTAGGGTTTAGGGTTTAGGGTTGGTTTAGGATTTTAGATCGTTTCTGGGGGGGCGGGGGGGGGAGAAAGTAGGAATGGAGGCTTCACCGTTGATGGCTGTGGTACTTGCGCCTTTCTTTGCATCCCGGACACTTGGAGGTTCTTGGTGCTGACAACCCAGCTGTATCTGTACTTCTCACCCACTTTTAAGCCCCTTGAGTGCCCTGACGGCTATACTTGTTGTTAGAAGCAGCATGAACCGGCAATTGCTCGAAGTCTTTGGAATCAGGACCTTGGTCTTTGCAAGGACTGCAGGTGATAGCGGCGGGTTACTCGGAGTGCATGGTTCTAGCTTCCCCAGCAACATAGGGATTAGTGTTTGGGGTCAGGCCGATTTTTTGGCGTAGGCTAGTTTAGGGAGCAGGCGCGTTGGGGTATTAGGGTACTATAGGGCTTCGGGGTGTAGTAGGCTGTTCCCCTAAACCGAGAGACCTAAACCGCCTAAACTCTGCACCGTTGGGGGCTTGGGGGGTTGAGGCTCTCTCGGCGGTGAGGTGTACGGTTGTGGGATTTACTGGCCGCGTTTCACGAACCCACAACCCATCAAACGCAGGGTAACGCATCGGATGAGATGTAGGGCTCAGGCTGTAGGATATTGGGTCCAGGGTCTCGGCTTCAGGACCCTAAACCCTAAACCCTAAACCCTAAACCCTAGACCCTAAACCCTAAACCCTAAACCGCTTTAGGGCTTTGAGGACTTGGGTTTCTGCAGGAGCTCGCATCGATGCAACAGGGTGCGACATGCACTACTTCTGTGCACCAAAAAATGCACGTGTCTTCGCGCATGTTACGGGAGCGTCGGAGTGTGCAACCCCCTAGAAGGGGACCCTTAAGACGACCCCCTCTGCAGTGCTTCAGTATCTATATCTATATCTGTAAATCTATATATATATATATATATATGTATAGGTAACCTGATAAGAATACACATACACACAACTTATGCAATCCTTATATGCCCAAGTAGCTTCTGCACAGCCCACAGCCACTACATGACCCTTCTAAGGGACCTCCTTCTAAGGATCCCTCCTGTCGTCCCGCAAGCTTGATAATCGCAAGAGCCAATCAGCATGACCCTCACTTTGGAACACGTGCACACGCGCCCTGTGCGGGCTCAGGAGCGCGTGCGATTCGTCCGAGCTGCCAGATCCCAAACCATGGATGGCTTAGGGGTGTTTAGGGTTTAGGGTTTTGGGTGATAACCCTCGAGTTCTGGAGGAGGGTTATAGGGTTTATAGGGTTTATAGGGTTTAGAGGGTCATAGGGTCCACCCTAAACCCGAAACTCTACATAAACCCTAAACCCTAAACCTCAAATTTCCATCTGGCCAGGTGTGCGAGAAGTGAGAGCGACCCTATACCCTCAACCCTAGGCCCAACAACGAACCAGAAACAAACAAGAATTCGGTGGGCACACAAGCCTTACTTGGAGGTTCATGGTACTTAATGACCCGATTCTAACTGTACTTATAACCAAATTTACCATATTAGGGCACTTAAAGGGCTTAAACGTGGGCTATACGTACAGTTATAATGGGGTTGTAAGTACCATGAACCTGGATTGATAGTTACTTGGAGGTTCATGGGAACGCATAACCCCCAATTTTAGATTTAGAGGACTTAGGGGGCTTATAAGTACCGTTATTGGTTTTTTTGTACCTGAACGCGTTGAAGGTTTGGGATTTAGGGGGGGGGGGGGGGTCTTCGCGCAGAGAGGGCTTCGCATAGCGTATCCCAACCCTAATTTATAAACCCTAA